CGTACTACACACCATAAACTTTCCTTATATCAGAAAAATAACTGGTCAACCCACTGACTTCATTCAGTAGACATCTAAGATAATAAATTTCTCCGGAGGGACATATCACATAGATATTGTTAAACTATATGGTAATTAATATTGTTTCATTATTATTAGTAAAAAAACTAATAATAATAATATATATAAATATATTATTATTATTATTATTATTTTATATATATATATATATATATATATATATATATATATATGTGTGTGTGTGTGTGTGTGTGTGTGTGTGTGTGTGTGTGTGTGTGTGTGTGTGTGTGTAATATCTTTTCCTTTATTATTTTGGAATCAAAATTTATTATGATTGGAAGTTACCAATCTCTTCCTATGTCCTATTAATGACTATTAAATTATTTCATAAAGATTAGTTTACTACCTATATAATTATGTAGATGAGAATTAGAAAATTTGTCTTCCCCCTTTTTCTCCATTGCCATGAAATTTTATACAATATAAAAATATATATTTTCTTCTTCTTCTTCTTCAAGGTTGGAACTCTCTTTTCAACAAGTGCCTTATAAGTGTTATTCCTTTATTTTATTTTATTTAGTATGGGTAGAATACAAGTAGGGACCTTAACATTTTACAGGTGCTTATGTGTACATTGTGTTGTTTTATTGTTGTTAATGATGATGATGATGGTTGATAGAAGAGGAGGATTTGAATAATTGAAGCTTAGAGAAATTTGGAAAAACAAGATTTCAGGGTAAGTGGTTGTTCTTCTTTTTACTTTGCCCAAAGTATTTTCCAAAGTGATGGATATGTTGGTTGCTATTTATTTGATTGAATGTTTTGGCTTATGAAATGACTCAATTGATTACTTAAAATCATTTCTATACTTAAAAAAAAGAAATTCTTTTATTTATGAATTGTACTGTTAGTATGTTTTGCTTAAAAAAATTATTATTGATTTCATTATGGATTTGTAGAAATAAGTGTACAACTATATATAAACTGTATATTTGTTTAAAAATAAAACGATTATATATATATATATATATATATATATATATATATATATATATATATATATATATATATATATATATATATTGTGTGTGTGTGTGTGTGTGTGTGTGTGTGTGTGTGTGTTTATTTACGTACATATGTGTATAACTCTATAAAAATTATTATTATTATTATTATTATTATTATTATTATTATTATAAAATATATTTTATCTTTATAAACATGTATTATTAAAAAATATAAACATAAGTGAAAATCTTTTGATTTCTTTCTTTAGATTCATAATTCTAACCTCCCAATCCCTGTTGATATACTACCTGCAGGCACATACGATTCCATTAATGGGGCCAATTAACTCAGCGTCCCCATTGATCCAATCCACAACCTCTTTTGCATCAATACGGATTCAAAGTTTTCTGATCTTCTTATCCCAAGCCCATTGAAGGGCATAATACATCGCCCTTCTACCATCAACGCATCATGTGCAATGTGGAGAGACGGAGGAGAGTTCTCCCTGTTGATGGTGCATGTGTCTTCTGCCCCGAGGTTGATGAAGATGCTGATCATATTGTAAGGAAATGCTGGAAGGCTAGGGAGGTCTGGGAGTGCCTGATTCCTATCTATAACCGTGTGCAATGGGAAGGTGGCGACTTCGTGGGGTGGATCATGGGCAACATTGCGATGAAGTCGGATTGGAGTGCGTTCTTTGCTACAACAACATATCTCGAGAGATTTGTTTCAATTGGTCAAAGGACATGCAACGATTCAATTCGGTTGTTGTTACAATAAAATTACTTTTTTTTCCTTCTATTTCTAAGTTATTTCTTGTGGAGAAATTCTGTGTATTTTTTTACATTAAAGATTTACATTACTTTTTCATATTGCATTTTTATTTATAATTATGAAATTAATTATTATATATAAAAATAATCTATTAAAAGGCAGAATATTTATTTATATAATAATTATTTCCATATGAACGTATGTAACTGTCAATTTGAGAATTACATATAGGTATAATAGGTAGGGCTGTCAAAGTGGGTCAAAATCCGCGGGCTGGCCCGCACCCGCCCCACAGTGGGGCGGGTTAGGGCCACCAAAAAATAGGCCCGTGAAAACGCGGGCCTAACGGGCTTAGCCCGCGGAGGGCCATAGCCCGCGCGGGTAAACCCGCGCGGGTTGCGGGCCTACCCGCGGGCCAAGCCCTTTAAAAAATATATCTGTATATATTATATTATATAATATATAAATTATAAAATATAATATAACAGTAAAGAAACTGCTTAAGACTAAAGAAAAGAGGTAAAACCTAAATTTCTAATCCTAATCCTAATCCTAATTGACTACTGTTTACTGTCTCTCTCTATATATAATATAATATAATTGTTTAAGACTAAAGAAAAAAATCTCTAATCCACTAGGCAACTTTTATTTTTGTTTTTATTTTGTCTTAAACTTATAAAGTTTATTTATAATTAATGAAATGCATTTTGGCATGCAGGAATATGTTCCGCAATACGATGAAATAGTGTCCAAGTTGATCTGGGAGGAGGTTGGGATTGAAGACTAAATTAGGGGCCTCAATATGTTGTCCTTTCAGTCACAGAAGAACAAATCCTAGAAGAAGAAGAAGAAAAGATGCTTATTAGACATTTTTTATTTTTTTTTAAATTTTAACACCAGCCCGCGGGCCAACCCGCGGGGCCCGCAAGCCCGCATGGGGCGGGCTTGGGTTGTATATGTCCTAGCCCGCGGGCTTCGCGGGCCGGCCCGTAAAAATCCACAAAAAGAAAAGCCCGCGGTGGGGCGGGCCGGCCCGTTTTGACAGCCCTAATAATAGGATATATTATATTTATACATTATTATATACATATATATTATTCCAAAAAAATATACATATATATCGTACATCATATACAGTTATTAGGATCAGATTTAGGAATGATATATATAATTGGGTAGAATAATTTAATTATATATATTAATTTAAAATAATCTATTAATAGGTTTGGAATGATATAATAAATTATTTAAAAATTATTTGACAGATTGGAATGTCACAAAAGTATCATTGCAATTAGGAATTTTTATTTGTAATTATGAAATTAATTATCATATATAAAAATATAAAAATAATCTATTAAAAGGTAGGATATTTATTTATATAATAATTATGAACGTATGTAACTGTCAATTTCATAATTACATATAGGTATTATAGGATAATACTATATTTATATATTATTATATACATATATATAGTACATCATATATAGTTATTAGGATCGTATTTAGGAATGATATATATAACTGGGTAGAATAATTTAATTATATATATTAATTTAAAAATAACCTATTAAAAGGTTTGAAATGATATAATAAATTATTTTAAAATTATTTGACAGATTGGAATGTCGCAAAAGTCTCCCTGCATTTAGAAATTTGTATTTATAATTATGAAATTAATTACCGTATATAAAAAATAGTCTATTAAAAGGCATGATATTTATTTATATAATAATTATTTTCATATGAACGTATTTAACTATCAATTTCATAATTACATATAGGTATAATAAGATAATACTATATTTATATATTATTACATATATATCGTACATCATATAGAGTTATTAGGATCGAATTTAGGAATGATATATATAATTGGTTAGAATAATTTAATTATATATATTAATTTAAAAGTAACATATTAAAATGTTTGAAATTATGTAATAAATTATTTTAAAATTATTTGGCAGATTGGAATGTCGCAAAAGTCTCCCTGCAATTAAGAATTTTTATTTGTAATTATGAAATTAATTACCATATATAAAAATAGTATATTAAAAGGAAGGATATTTATTTATATAATAATTATTTCCATATGAACGTATGTAACTGTCAATTCCATTATTTACAATATACATAATATACTTTAACAATGTAAAAAAAAAAAAAAATTAACATTAACTACTACAAATTTATAGGCCGTGCATCACACGGGTATCATACTAGTTCATTATATAACACATAAAGATACGGTACTCATACTGATCAGTAGATACCAATATGCCATCTAGGGTTCTGAGTCAAGTATGAGACAAATATGGCTAACGGTCTAGCGTTCAAGAAGCAACACAACAAGAACATCAACTGTGGCTGAAGATCAACACGATTATCGCTTCCGCTTATACGAGATCAAGTTTCTCGTATATTATTTAACTAGTTTTTTTTATAATGCCCAATGTTTTTTTTAAATAAATATGTTAAAGTATATCAAGGCAAGATTATATTGTAATTGTTCACGCATAAATAATTGAATTTGAAATTGAGTATTTAAATAGGTTATTCTAAGTTTACAAATGCAAGATAGTATAGTCAATATTGATTATAATTGTCAATAAAATAATTGTATATATATGGTTGAAACTAAATACGGGACATAAGGGAGAGCAAATAAAAATTAGGGCATAAAATATTAAATATATACTAATATTGAAGAGCTAACTGCTGATTGCCAAACAAGGACATTGCGAGGTAGTTTCCCACTTCAATTTGTTGTGTGATTTGAATATTTTTTTTTGTCAATAACTTACAAGTAGTTAATATGATTGACTTAATTTTTTATTTTTTTAAATAACAATTATTATTATTATTATTATTATTATTATTATTATTATTATTTTTAAATATATGTATACCCTTAGATCATTTTACATGTTATTCTATTATGAACGATGAGTGAAATGCTCTCTAGCCAACGGTCGACGGAGGATCACGATCTGCTCGAGCGGAGCACGAAGAAGACGAAACGCAATGGTGAGCGGGTGGACAACCAAGCCTCGGATGCGAGGGGAGGGGACGAATACCGGACGGAGGTGGAGGTCGTCAGCGAGACGCCGATGAATGAGATGGTGCCAGCACCGTGGACGTATGCGCAAAGTGTGATTGGACAACCAGCGTAGTCAGTGCAACCGGCCATGGACGATGTAGAGAATGCTCCGGAGGATGCGTCCGACGAGGAGGATGATGATCCGTTGTGCCCGACAATACGACTAACAAAGGAGGAGGTGGAGGCGATCCGAGCACCCTGGCGGATGGCGCTCATCATTAAGGTGATGGGCAGGAAGGTGGGTTACACTTACCTATTGCGGCGACTCCAGTCCATGTGGCGGCCGAAAGGGAGCCTCGATCTAATCGCTATTGACAATGATTACTTTCTTGTTCGATTCGGATTGGTCGACGATCTGGAATTCGCCATGTACGAGGGTCCGTGGATGGTCTTGGAGCACTACTTGATTGTGAAGCCTTGGGTCACAGACTTTGATCCAACATCGGATAAAACAGAGAAGATGCTAGTCTGGGTGCGAATTCCATGCATCCCTGCAGAGTACTACAATATCATATTCCTTAGGAAGCTGGGGAACAAAGTGGGGAGAACGATCAAGATTGATCACGTAACCAGCCTGGTGTCAAGGGGGCACTTCGCGAGGATATGCGTGGAGGTTGATATAACCAAGCCGTTGATATCAAAATTCAAATACAACGAGAAGGTGAGATTGGTGGCGTATGAAGGTATCCACATGGTGTGTTTCGGGTGTGGTGTTTATGGACACTCACCGGATGCATGCCCCAAGCAGGCCAGTGCAGCGCTGGATCCTGCCGAGGCTGTCGAAGCACATGTAGATCAAGTGGGTGACGCTCCTTTTGGGGCGTGGATGATCGCACCAGGACGGAGGCCGCGAAATGGACCGCGACAATCGGAGAGGCAGCAGAAGCGATCGGTTGAGACCAAACAGGGGGGACATGGGGCTAGCGAGGGGGGCGTACATGCAACCAGATTCGCACCGCTGGTGGAGTTGGACGGAGATGGGGAAGCGCATGCAGGCATTGACGTGGCGACGGAAACGGAACAGAAAAGTGCTGAAGAGGGCCAAGGGAGGAGGGCTCAAGCTGTGACTCCCCGGGGAGGTAGAGGGAGGCGACCGAATGTAATAGCCATTGAACGACAGATTACCAACGAGGCCATTGCGGAGGGTGGGGTGCACATCAGTGGGGGGGGGGGGGACCGTGCCGATGAGCGTTTGGGCAAGGAGAACGCACAGAGGCAGGAGCGATCATCGAAGTCGGGTGAGCGAGCAAGGCAAAGTGGGATGTCTAGGAGAGCAGCGGAGGAAGAAGAACATGTGGTGGTCAGGGGCCTGAAGAGAGGAGAACATATATAAACCATTACAGTTACATGCAGCCAGTCTGACGGTGGTGGAAGGCCGCCTGAGTTGGAGCGCGTAGGAGAACACTACTCGGACAAACCCAGCAATCTTGATGAAGATGGCGATGAAGTAATGGAGATGGAGAAATTGCATGGAGAGTCTCCTGGGAGCGTGGGAGCAAACGGCGATTAGGCTGTTTTGTTTTGCTCGTGCTTGAGTTTTGCTGTGTTTTTTGGTTTTGGTTATTGATTTTTCTTTTTTGTTTTTTTAATGATTAGTATCATTTGGAATTGTCAAGGCGCTAGAGGGAGGAACTTTCAGCGCATCCTCAAAACCTTGCTGAGAGCACACAAACAGGACATGATCGGGTTGGTGGAACCGAAGGTGTCGGGCAACCAAGCTAATAATATTTGCTCGAGCTTGGGGTTTGAAGATTGGGTCCGCATAGAGGCGATTGGCTTTAGTGGGAGGATTTGGGTGCTGTGGAACAAGCCCATTGAAATTACCATCGAATATACTCACCCTCAGTTCATCCTGTTGCAGGTTAAAGAAAATGGCGCCGAACCTTGGACGTTTGCAGTGGTGTATGCAAGCTCGAGGCAATCTCTACGGAGGCGGCTGTGGAGTGAGTTGCAAGCAGCCAAACGGAACATAACGCAGCCTTGGTTGGCAGCTGGGGATTTTAATACGGTGACTTGCCGGGAAGAGACTCTCAACTATATTGCTTATTCTATACACAGAAGTGCTGAGTTCGTGGATTGGATTCAAGGGGAAGGAATGGTGGACCTTGGTTTTAGTGGGCCACAGATGACATGGGTCAGGGGCTCGGATGACACCACCAGCAAAGGGGCGAGATTGGATAGGGCAGTGTGTGATCTGGGATGGCGTCAAAGGTTCCCGGAGGCCACGGTCGAGCACTTACCCCGGATCGCCTCAGATCATGCACCCATCCTCATTAGGACAATGGCAGGACATGCACGGAGGCCTAGCGCACATTTCAAGCTCCATGCTGCTTGGCTAACTAATGATAAGTTCGCCGAGGAGGTGGAACGGTCTTGGCATAAGAATGATGACTTGATGTGCAATGTTCAAAGGCTGCAAACAGGTCTAACGAGATGGAACAAGGAGGTTTTTGGCAATATAGAGGGTCGGAAGAAGTCGTTGTTAGCGCGCATTGGGGGGATACAGAGAGTAACAACAAACGCATACCACAGAGGGCTCATGAAGTTGGAATGGAGGCTAAAAGATGAACTTGAGACTATTCTGTATCAAGAGGAGTTGCAATGGTACCAGCGATCCAGGGAGCAGTGGATCGTCTCGAGGGATAGGAACACCAAATTCTACCATGCGGCCACGATGGTACGACGATCTCGGAATAGAATTGTAAGCCTAAAGGATGACAGTGGAATATGGTTGAGTGATCCGGAGTTGCTACAGAAGCATGTGCAGGATTTCTACATTCACCTCTTTATGGGAGATATGGTCACGGATGCTACTAGAGCAGTGCGAGGCCGCTTTCATGTTGTTGATGAGATCGAGTGGCAAACTTTTCAACGTATGGTGACGAAGGAGGAGGTGCGTGATGCAGTCTTTGAAATGAGCCCGTGGAAAGCACCTAGGCCGGACGGCTTGCACGCAACCTTCTATCAACGCACATGGGGGGGGGGGGGGGTGGGGGGGATAGCGTGTACGCGGATGGTCAAGAATGCTTTCCTCTCTGGGAAGCTACCCCCGGGCATCAATGAAACCCTTTTGGCTCTTATTCCGAAGGTTGGAGCACCGGAAACTATTAAGCAGTTTAGGCCAATAAGCCTTTGCAATGTGTCCTACAAGATTATTACCAAAACTATAACTAATCGTCTCAAGGCCATTTTGCCCAAGATCGTTGGCCCTTTCCAGAGTTCATTTGTCCCGGGAAGGCAAATATCAGACAATGTGTTGATTTATCAGGAAGTCATGCATTCGTTCCGTGTTAAAAAAGGAAGTTCGGGGCTCATGGCAATTAAAATAGATCTGGAAAAAGCCTATGACTGGCTTGCGTGGAATTTTATTAACGACACTCTTTTTTATGCAGGTTTTAACGAACAATTCACGAGACTTATTATGGAGTGTGTACAAATGGCTCTACTATCAATTACATGGAATGGTACGCGACTACCCCAGTTTCGACCTGGACGGGGAATTCGACAAGGCGATGCTATGTCTCCTGCCTTGTTCGTGCTATGCATGGAGCGTTTGAGCCAAAGTATCATATCTGCTGTGAGTTCAGGGAGGTAGAAGGGAATTCGGCTCACGAACACTGGACCAGTCCTCTCGCACTTGTGCTTCGCCGATGACATGGTTTTGTTCTCAGAAGCCTCCATAGAGCAGGTAAGCGTGATTCAGCAAGTTCTGACGTGGTTTTGCGAAGCCTCCGGACAGAAGATTAGCCTGAGCAAGTCCCAGGTATTCTTCTCGCACAACACCCACCCGGACGTTGCCACGGCAATCTCATATTCTCTGGCCATCCTGGTGACAACGGATTTAGGAAGATACCTAGGGGTACCAACGCTGCACGGCAGAGTTACACAAGCAACTTTCTCAGGGCTGATTGATCGAGTGACTGCGAGGCTCGAAGGGTGGCGTAGCAGGACCTTATCGTTTGCAGGGAGAGTTACTCTGGCCAAATCAGTTTTGGGTGCAATTCCCACATATACGATGCAAACGGCGTATCTACCAAAGGGGGTGTGTCAGAAGTTGGAAATGATTATCAGGAGGTTCATTTGGGGCGGCGATGGGGGCACGCGGAAGGTGAGCCTAGTTGCCTGGGACGAAGTAACAAAACCAATGGCAGTCGGGGGATTAGGCCTGCGTAGAATGCAAGATGTAAACTCTGCGTTTATGGCAAAGCTGGGGTGGCGGGTGCTCACGGAACGCGACAGTCTTTGGGCCCGAGTGCTAACAGACAAGTATGGGGTCAGCGACGGAGAGCGGAAGATGACGGCGAAACGGATTGCCTCGAACGCATGGCGGGGGATATGTAATGCAAACGGATTGCTGGAAAAGGGTCTAACGAAGTTGGTACGCAATGGAAAAGAGACGAAATTCTGGATGGATAGGTGGGTCAATGGACAGCGTTTATATGACTATATGAAACACCCGGTAAGTCTACCAGAGCTGTACGCGCCAGTGGCGGACTATTGGGCCAATGGGAGCGGCTGGAGATGGGAGAAGATAGATAGCGTTTTGGACGAGATATGGATCAGGAAGCTTCATTCCTATGTTGTTCTCGAGGAAGAGGAGGCTAGAGATGATTGGGGATGGGGAATGGAGTTGGACGGGCGTTTCTCTATTAGTTCGGCGTGCGCAGCGTTGAGACAAGAGGGCAGTGCAGTTATAGATCATGATTGGCAAAGAATTTGGAAGTTGAGACTCCCTAACAAAATCAACCACTTTATGTGGCTGGTGAAGCATGGGAGACTTATGACAAATGTGGAACGTGCGAAGAGGGGTTTCACAACTGATGTTTTTTGTTCTTCTTGCGCAGGTAGAGAGTCTCGACCATTTGTTCGGATCATGTACGGAGGTTGTGGGATTGTGGGAGGCGGCGCTACCGCACCACACGAGACAGCTTCTTTGAACTACAAACTGGGACACGTGGTTGTCGATCAATCTCAAGGCGGATCCAAGGCTGGGTTTCGACAAAGATTGGGCGGAGGCTTTTGGGTTAATCATGTGGTGGTGCTGGCGATGGAGGAACTTGCGGATTTTTGAGGATTACCACTTGAGTCTTGCGCAGAAGATAGCATGGATTCGGAACCAACAACGCCAAACGAGGATAGCTTTTTCAACGCAACGTTCGCCTAGAGATGCTGTCCGAGGGGGCACTGACGCAGGTTCGTGGACAAAACCACCTGTGGGGTGGACAAAGCTTAATGTTGATGGCTGCTGCAAAGGTGTGAGCCAGAGGGAAGGTTGCGGAGGTGTGCTGCGTGATCACACAAGGCACTGGATTAAAGGGGTGACGCACAATATCGGATCGTGTACGGCCGAGGATGCAGAGGCGTAGGCTGTTCTAGTCGGGTTGCGGATGGCTGCTGGGTGCCACCAAGGGAGAGTCATGGTAGAGAGCGATTCACTCGCTACGATAAATCACGTCACGACCTGCATCAAGTCGGGCCAAGGGAGCAATACCGTGAGACTTTGCGTACAAAAAACGAGGGCGTTCCAAGAGGTGAAATTCAACCATGTGGTGCGTAATCTCAACAGAGTGGCGGACAAGCTCGCATCTACAGCTCTAAACCATGAGCTAGGTACAAGGGTCATCTCAACACAACTGCAATTTTTAGATGACCTGTTGTGGGAGGATAGGGTGGGTGCTTGTGTGAGTAGCAGGGTGTCTTTCTAGCTTTTGTTTCCGGGCATGTGCCCTCTCTCTGTTACCAAAAGTTTTTTACATGTTATTCTAAACAGCTAATTTTTTCAAATATCTTTTTACCAACCGTTGATATAATTCGCTAGTCAAATCCGCTAACGCTAACTGCTAACTCCTGATTGTCAAACAAGGACATTGCGAGATAGTTTTCACTTCAATTTTTTGTGTGATTTGAATACTCTCTTTGTCAACAAATCACTCAAGTAGTTAATATGATTGGATTAATTATATATTTTTAAATTTTTTCATGGTATTAATAAAATACTTGGTAAATAAATATATAACATTATTTTGTATTATAACTTTGATATTTAATTAAAAAAAATAGTGCACAAAAAAATAATAGACAATGTGGTGAATATAATCAATTGATGAATTTGAATATAAAGAATTTTTACATTGGAGAAAAATAAAGACAATATAAGAAATAAAATTATTTTTCTTAATTAATTTATTGATAATGAATATTTTTTTTAATAAAGACATTGTATGGACAATGTAGCGCATATAATCAATTGATGAATTAAAATGTAAAGAATTTTTATATTGGAGAAAAATAAAGACAATATAACTAATAAAATTATTTCTCTTATTTAATTTATTGATAATGAATAATTTTTTTGAATAAAGACATTGTAGACACATAATTCTAAATTAAATAAATGCATATGTATTATTTTTGTTGTTGCTACTAAATTATTATTTAATTTAATAAGAGCAAAATAGAGTACTAATTATGTTAACTTTGATTGGGATGAGATTCAAACATAAGACATTT